TTGGTCCGGTCGTGGGGCCTGAACTCTGGGCCTGGGCACTGTCCCTCAGCTCTTCAGCTCAAGGCTAGCGCTCTACCACTTGAGCCACAGCGCCACTTCGGCTTTTTTCTTATGTGGTGCTGAGGAATCAAACCCAGGGCCTCAGGCATGCAAGGCAAGTGCTCTACCACTGAGCCACCTTCCCAGCCCTGACAATAATTTTTTTAAAAAAGAAAAAAATACTATTATAATTTTATTGCAGTTGAACTCAGATCTGAGGAGAGTACTTTTAACTTTTGAGAAAATAGATATTTCAATGCTTTATATATAGATGACCATTAGACTATAGTCATTGTATTCATATACTGTTCTGTAGAATGGGAACTTCTTTGTACAACTACTTAAATAATAAAAAAAGAATATAGTCATTTAAGTTTCTCAGCATTCTGTATTTATAAAGTAATATTTGTACCAGTTTTAACTATATGTGTATTTTGGAAGTCATAGTTTGTGTATATTTCTTTTTTTGTTGTTATTGGGGGGGTGGTGGTCATGGGGCCTGAACTCTGGGTCTGGGCGCTGTCCCTCAGCTCTTCAGCTCAAGTCTAGCACTCTATCACTTGAGCCACAGTGCCACTTCCAGCTTTTTCTGCTTACATGGTGCTGAGGAATCAAACCAAGGGTGTCATGCATGCAAGGCAAGCACTCTACCACTGAGCTACCTTCCCAGCCCAGTTTGTGTATATTTCATAGCAGGTATGCTTTTTAAAGTGTATGCATGCCATTTTTTAAAATCCAAAATTAATAATGCTATACTTAATATTATACATTCCCTATTCTGCATATTTTACCAATTTTATAAGGAAGAAATTATAAATAAGTGACGATGATGTTAGGAAGAAGTTGTTCTCTTAGGAAAGAGTGTTATAAATAAAAATACTACTTATGGGCTGGGAATGTGGCTTAGTGGTAGAGTGCTTGCTTAGCATGCATGAAGCCCTGGGTTTGATTTTTCAGTACCACATACACAGAAAAGGCTGGAAGTGCTGTGGCTCAAGTGGTAGAGTGCTCGCCTTGAGCTGAAGAGCTAAGTTCAGGCCCCATGACCGACAAAAAAAATACTATTTATGAGCCGGCACACCTGTCATCCTAGCTACTCAGGAGGCTGAGATTTGAGGATCACAGTTCAAAGCCAGCCCAGGTAGGAAAGTCCATGAGACTCTTATCTCTAATTAACCACCAGAAAACCAGAAGTGGCGCTGTAGCTCAAGTGGTAGAGTGCTAGCCTTCAACTGAAGAGCTGAGGGACAGTGCCCAGCCCCAGAGTTCAGGCCCTACAACTGACAAAAAACAAAACAACAACAACAAAAAAAAAAAAACCCCAACTATTTATAGCCATATTCAATTTAAGAAAAAATGAGTGTAAAAGCAAACTTTGAAAAATACATATATTCCTTGAAATTTTTCAGTATAATTGAATTGCCTATGATGTTGAGCCAAATTCTTATTCGTCTGATACTTTCACCTATTTTTTTTTGAGACTACGATAAAATAACAAACATTTTGGGGGAATATAGACAATAGGGGGTACTCAGAAAGTTGATTCAGAATCACAAATAATTTTATAAATGCATTTTTAACCATGTTTCACTTAATTGTTTCAGGATAACAAACTTAATTAGCTGTGTGCCAACCTAATAATATAGAAGTGTTTTTATTAAGTGACTATAAGGGCACAGTTAAAATTAAGTATTCTACTTCCCATGGAAATTCAAAATAAATACTGTATGTTTGAAGTTACAAATTTTACAGAAATTATGTATCTAGCTGTATTCTTTTAGACTTCATAAATTATAGATATTTAAGATACTTGTTGTGTTGAAAAGGGTAATAGTGATCAAGATACATTGCATTCATAAACTGCTTTGTTAAATGACAACTACTTAAATTATATATATATATATATATATACACACACACAAAATAAAAGAAAAAAATGTAAAAAATTTTTTAAAAAGATTAAAAAGGCTATACATACTATCTAAAGTAATGTTGGCAACTTCCAAATATTTCCACTTAAATGGAAGGGCTTTAATTTTTTCTAGCCATTCAACAAGTTTCCTTACAAATTTCTATTTTAAAACAGAAAACTCAGGCATGAATACCCAAAGCTAATATTCACCTTCTGCTTCTGGGAAGCACGATTCTTCTCATCAGAGATCTTTTCTGGATTATATCTTATGAGTGATGGGATAGAAACCTGAACAGGCACTTGGGTAGCAGGAAGTGAGCCTCGAACTGACTTCTTCTGTTTGGGTTCATTAGGAGTCACAGTGGGGATTATACGAAGATTGGGACGGCTACGAGTAGCTTGTTTGGCTACTGGCATTATCCTGTGTGGTTCAGGCAGAGGGTGGTTTGATGGTTGAGAGGCAGGATACATAGGCCATCTTGAGGCTGCATATGCCATATAGTGCCTATAGGTGTCAAAGGAGGAAGCAGGAATGGTAGCTCCCTGGTAGTTTGGAGGTATCCGAGCTGCAACAAACTGAGAAGTCCTTGGCATATGAAACTGAGATAAAGAAGCAGAGTGTGGAAGTCTAATTGGGGTAGATGGGGTTGATGGCAACATGCACCTGACTGCAACAGATGACTGAAACCCACTGCCAACCACCTCTTGTCCTGAAATATGACCAACTGGATGATCAGACTTTAAGAAAGGAGGACTATTTTTTGGAAGCAGATAAGGATCTACAGGGGAGGATGGGTGTGGATGGGACACCTCTGGAGAATGAGTATTGCTATGATGTGACTCCCTGCTTTCCAATCTATGGTGATCTGAGGAGTGCTGATCAGCTGACAAATGGTGGTCAACTGAGGAACAGCGGTCAGCTGAGAAGTGTCGGTCAACAGAAGAACGGCGGTCAGCTGAGGAACGTGATGATGGTTTCTTCCCATGAAGCCGTTCTTGGGTGCGAGCAGCTAGTTTACTAATCTCTGCTACTCCAATATCCAGCCCTATGGTCTTAAGCAAGTCATGAATCTTGGCATATTCTGAATTTGTCTCTTCTAGTGATTCTAACTTTATAGCTGGAGCTGAGGAGGAAAGGGAACTTGTCTTTTGCCTTGTAACTTTACTCTCAGAGCCAATGGACTTTGGTGGGGATTCTGTCTTTAAATCCTCTTCTTCATCACCATAGAGAAATTTTTCCTCATCTTCAATGTCAGGGAAGCTACATTGCCTTTTTTCCTGTGTACTGGTAGAATCAACCAGCATGCTCAGGATACGGGAAAAACCACTGCCATCTTGACTAGCTCGCTCATGGGGTAGTAAAAAGTCTATATGCCTCTCAGTTCCTTCAGTCTTCAAACCTAACTTTTCCTTGTGGCACAGAAAACTTCCAAATTTTTCTTTGAGAGGACTGTTCTCTTTGGGTATTCCAGGGAGGGGACCCCACTGGAAGAGTTTAGCCTGAGGTCCCTTCAGGGCAGGTTCCACTGTAGTCCCCTTGTTTTCAATCTCTGAGGAAAAAGCAGCAATAGCACCACTTAGTGGAAGAGATGAGTGTCCGGAGTAAAGAGGGTGATCCTGGTTGGAGTTAGTACTGCTGGAAAAATTCTCGGGCTGAAAAGACAAATACAACTGACTGAGACCCTGTGCAAAATCTCAGAACACTTAACAGATGAGATAAATTGTTTAACACACACACACACACACACACACATACACGCTGGGTGCTGGTAGCTCATGCCTGTAATCCTAACTACTGAGAAGGCTGAGGTCTGAGGATTGCTGTTCAAAGCCAACCTGGGCAGGAACGTCCATGAGACTCTTATCTCTAATTAACCACCAGAAAACTGGAAGTGGCACTGTGGCTCAAGTGGTAGAGCACTAGTCTTGAACTGAAGAACTCAGGGACAGCACCCAGGCCCAGAGTTCAAGACCTACTGCTGACACACAGACACACACAGACACACACACACATAGACACACACACACACAGACACACACACACACACAGACATACACACACTAAACCCTGTTCTTTCTGAATTAAGGAGATAAAAATATAGATAAATGGCAGGATATTCTTAGTGAAGGTCAAGATATGAGTCCCTATCTATCTCTCCAGATGTCTCTGCTGTAGCAAAGAGAAATAGGAATTTAAACAACTGGATGGAACCCTCACCTTTGCTTTGTTTTAGTCATTTTTCAATGAATGTAAATTCAAAAGGATTTTAGAAATAATCTAGCTTGTTTTCATTTCTATAAAAGCCTAAAAGAAAAATACTGTAAATGGTGAGGCTTTGAAGTGGCAGAGGAAAGTCTGTAACTCTAACTTAGCCTCCTTCTGCTTAAGTGTTTTGAGGCAAATGGCTTAGAAGCCTTTAACTAGGCTTTGCCTATTGTTCCATATGAAAAAAAAAAAAAATCAAGGCTGGGAATGCGGACATGACTTGCCTAAAAATCACATAGCAACTTGGTGGCAGAAGTAGTCCAAAAGCAGAATCACTTGATTTCTGGACTAGTCTTATGACTCATCTATACTGTCTTTTCTTTCTCTAAAGACAGATGGAATGTGGATCATCTCCTCCCTTTGCCCTTAAGTTTCACTTTCAAGAAACATAGTCAAAATTTCTATAGGGCCGGGCGCTGGTGGCTCACGTCTGTAATCCTAGCTACTCAAGAGGCTGAGATCTGAGGATAGAGGTTCAAAGCCAGCCTGGGCAGGAAAGTCCGTGAAACTCTCATCTCCAATAAAACCACAGAAAACCGGAAGTGGCGCTGTAGCTCAAGTGGTAGAGTGCTAGCCTTGAGCTGAAGAGCTGAGGAACAGCGCCCAGGACCAGAGTTCAAGCCCCACGACAGACAAAAAAAAATTTCTATAGGGCTATTAAAAATGACTATTTTCAAAAGTCAAAATAGGGGGCTAGGAAGGTGTGGCTTAGTGAGTGCTTGCCTAGCATGCATGAAGCCCTGGGTTCAATTTTTCAGTACCATATAAACAGAAAAGGCCAGATGTGACTCTGAGGCTCAAGAGTGCTAACCTTGAGCAAAAAAAGCAGCTCAGGTACAGTGCCAAGGCCCTGAGTTCAAGCCCCAGGACAGGCATAAAAAAAATATGGGCAACAGAAGCCCTCTACTGACACATCACAAGGCCTTTCATTTGGAGAATTCTAAAAGTATAGATCACAAGTGTAACAACATTAGTCCATCATCTATGACAAGGATACAGCCTCCAAGAAAGTAACCAAGATTGAAAGTATTATAGGAAGCCAGGTGTGGGTGGCTAATGCCTGTAATCCTAGCCACTTAGGAGGCTGAAATCTGAGGATTGTGATTTGAAAGCCAGCCAGGGCAGGAAAGTCCAAGAAAATCTTATTTCCAATTAACCACCCAAAAGTTAGACAAGTAGTAGAGCACTAACCTTGAGGGAATAAAGCTATGGAAGAGCACCTAGGCCCTGAGTTCATGCCTCTCCCCCAATGATAGGTATGTTTATGTTTATGCATATTTATGTTTGTGCATATATGTGTATATGTGCATATGTGTATATGTGCATATGTGTGTATATGTATGTGCATATATATATATATATATATATATATATAAAATTTTTTTAACAGGACTAGAAAGAGACCCTAGAAGAAATATAATAGAGACCTGCATGGAAGGCTCCATGTCCACCTCAATCCGTTTCTTCAGAATAGACTTCTTGGGCATAACAGACACTTCCTCAGGCCGGTGCAAAGAATAACCTGGCTCTGTTGCTGTCAATACACCTGACAATCCAGGGATGGAACAGCTAGTGCCACCACTGTCAACTCCCACTAACTCCTGACTCAAGTTCCTACTTTGTTCCTCCTCTTCCTCTCGCTTTCGTCTTGCAAGATCCAGCTCTCGAAACTCAGGATCTAGAAACCTAGGACTTGGACTTTGTCTACGCTGTCGATAGTTGCGAGTCCCTGATGTAAAACTTGGGTGATCCCCTCCCATGCTGTGTATCTTCTCCGTATCATCAAAACGAGGCCTTTTGACTTCCCGGCTCCTTTCTTCAGATCGTATAGAGTAGGAGCCTTTGAGTTTGTCTCTATTTCGTTCTGTTCCCCGCAACAGTTCATCATGACAACTCATATGGGGACTATAATCAGATCGATGCAGGAAAGTTTCCCTTGTTCGGTAGTCCTCATCAAGTTGTCCTAAGAAGGGACTAAGAGGCCGCTCTTCCCGGGAAATGTATCTCTCAAGACCCCGAGAGCCTTGGGAGCTTCGAGTGAAGACAGAATCATCAGCCAAATCATCCCTGAGAAAAGAGGTAAGTATCACTGAATACAATGAACTTGGAAAGAGCAGGATCAGAATACTTGATAAGGGAGTTATGGAATGTTTAGGGCAAAAGACAATAATCATAAAATTCAACAGTTTATCTATATAATACACAGAACTTTTCATCTCCTTTTCCCCAGGGACATAAACAGCTTCAGTTTCTAATCAAAGGGTGAAGCCAGGCACTGATGGCTCATACCTGTAATTCTAGCTACTCAGGGGGCTGAGATCTAAGGATCTCACTTTGAAGCCAGCCTGGGCAGGAAATTCTGTAACTTGTATCTCCAATAAATCACAGAAAAAGCCTGAAGTGGTACAGTGGCTCAAATGGTAGAGTGCTAACCTTGAGCAAAAAGGGAGCCCAGGGACAGCACCCAGCCCAGAGTTCAAGCCCCATGACAGAAAAAAACAAAAACAAAACAGGGCTGGGAATATGCCTTAGTGGTAGAGTGTTTGCCTAACATGCATTGAGGCCCTGAGTTCCCTTCCTCAGTACCATATAAATAGAAAAGCTGGAAGTGGCACTGTGGCTCAAGTGGTAGAGTGCTAGCCTTGAGCAAAAGAAGCTCAGGGACAGTGCTCACGCCCTGAGTTCAAGCTCCAGGTCTGGCAAAACAAATAACAACAAAAGAACCCTCTGGTGCATCACCTTTACAATTAAAAAAAACACACATAAACCCACAAAGGGTGATACTGCCAATTCATCTAGACAGAACTTTCAAGCTAATTCATTTCTTCCTTTCCTCCCCACCTGTCCTCCACTTTATGTGTGTGTTCTGGTACTAAGACTTAAACTCTGGGCCTCCTGATCTTACTAGGCTTTTTCACTTAAGTTATATCTCTACTTCCAGTTTTGTGCTTATTATCTGGAGAAATAAGTCCCTCAGATTTGTCTGCCTGATCTGGCTCCAAACCTCAATCCTCAGACCTCAGCCTTTTTTTTTTTTTTTGGTCAGTCTTGGGGTTTAAGCTCTGGGCCTGGGCACTGTCCCTGAGCTCTTCAGTTCAAGGCCAGTGCTCTACCACTTGAGCCACAGTGCCACTTCTGGTTTTCTGGTGGTTAATTGGAGATAAAAGAGTCTCACAGACTTTCCTGCCCAGGCTGGCTTTTAACTGTAATCCTCAGATCTCAGGGTCCTGAGTAGCTAGGATTACTGGTAGGAGCCACCGGCACCCGGCTAAATATTATTTATTTAGACAGCAAATAAATAATATTTATTGATTGAACTCAGAACCTTGAGCTGGCCAGGCAAGGGTTTTGCCATTTGAACCTTGCCCCCATGCTCAGATCTTGGCCTTCTGAGTAGCTAGGATTATAGGTGTGAGATAACAGTGTCCAGCTTCACTGTGTATTTTTATTTCACAGAAATTCTAAGACCTAAGCCAAGTACTGGTAGCTCATACCTGTAATCCTTGCTACTCAAGAGGCTGAGATCTAAGGACCACGGTTCAAAGCCAGCTAGGCAGACAAATCCTAGAGACTCTGATCTCTAATCAACCACTAGAAAACCAGTAGCACTGTGGATCAAAGTGGTAGAGCACGATCACTGAGTGAAAAAAACTCAGAGACAGGGCTCAGACCCTGAGGTCAAGCCCCTTGACCACCAAAAAAGAAAAAGAAGATCTCATATAGTATGAAGGTAAAAACAGAGGATGAGACAGCTGTCCCTTCAGTTAAGAGATCTACACCAAGCCAGGCGCCAGTGGCTCACGCCTGTAATCCTAGCTACTCAGGAGTCAGATCTGAGGATCAAAGTTCAAAGCCAGCCCGGGCAGGAAAGTCCTTGGGACTCTTATCTCCAATAAACAACCAGAAAACTGGAAGTGGCGCTGTTGCTCAAGTGGTAGAGCACTAGCCTTGAGCTGAAGAGCTCTGGGACAGTGCCCAACCCCAGAGTTCAAGCCCCACAACCAACAACCACACACCAAAAAAAAAAAAAGAGAGAGAGAGAGAGAGAGAGAAAGAGATCTACACCATATACAACTGACCTATTGTTGTTGTTGTTATTGTTATTTGGGGGGGGTTCCTATGGCTGTAGAGCTTCTATGACCCCAAAAAAGATTATTCAAATCATAAAAAAAGAACCTGTAGCATTTTAAGCACATAAGTTTTAAGTAACATGGAAAAAACTAAGTGTTCCCATGTCACCCACATTCTACAAGGAATCACTATTCAGAGGATGGGAATGACGGTATTACTGGTATATTTTGTTGTTGTTGTAATTATTTTATTAAGCTCAGGCTGACCCAAAACTTGTAGTCCTCCTACCTTATCCTTCCAAGTGCTAATACAATCATGTGCCACTATACCTGGCAATTGTTGATAACTTATACTATTTCTAGTAGCTATTTCTTGGATAGCTGTGGTTGTAGAAATGGTTTTTTTTTTTTTTTGTCGGTCGTGGGGCTTGAACTCTGGGCCTGGGCACTGTCCCTAAGCTCTTCAGCTCAAGGCGAGCGCTCTACCACTTGA